TTTTTTTTTTTTTACGCCCGCACCGCATGCGTTCCACACACACACACACACATATATATATATACACAGAGACGCGTTGTGCTAAAAGATCATGTCCTCCCATTTTCTCTCTTTACCTCTCTATTTCTGCGTGCATATCACACAGATAGATATATATATAAATATATATGCGCACACGTGCTGCTCCTAGTCCTGCTTCGTATGGGCGTTTGTGCGGCGCTCCATGATCGGCTCCACCACAATCGCGAGGAACAGCAGAAAGGAGAAGAACATCGCGACGAACGCCACCGTGACGAGGATTGCGTCCTCGTAACCGAGTGTCGCATGCAGAAACTCCATGCCGGGGAAGTGTAACAGGAACTCTGCGATCTCGCCAATGAAACTCATCTTCACCCCGTGGGCATTTCCCTGCTCGACGTCGTCGAGGAAGGCCGNAGGAACTCTGCGATCTCGCCAATGAAACTCATCTTCACCCCGTGGGCATTTCCCTGCTCGACGTCGTCGAGGAAGGCCGTGATGATGGACTGCTGCTCGCCTCCCACTCGCCATGGCAGCTGTGTCTTGACCTCCTCAAAGCGCGGAGTGTGATGGCGCAGGTGGTACACCTTGTCGCGGCGCGGATCGACGACAATAAAGGCGGGCAGCTCGCTCTCCTCAATATGGTAGCGCTTACGCCACGCCATATGTGTGCCGCCGTCCACGTGTGCCAGGGAGATGCGGCGCTGCGGCACAATCTTCTCACCTGCAGCATTATTATTATTATTATTATTGTCATTATCGCTAGCGGTAACCTTACTGTTGCGGTCAGCCTCACGGCGCGTGCGCACCTCGTTCCGCGCCTGCACCACCTCGCGCAGCACCGGCATCATATCGGCGTCGCTGCGGGCCAGCGGACCGTTGGTGAGGAGGAGACCCAAGTAGTGGTGGTCCTCCGTCTGCAGCACGGAGAAGATCCCAGGCGTCACCTCCTCCACAGCGCGGAAGCCGTGGTGCGTTATGAATTCCGCAAGTGACGGGTGCAGCTGGACTGCTGTTGTATCGCCTTTGGGCTCCGCGAACCATGGGCCTACCCCGTAGCACTGCGGCTGCCTGTGTGCGTCGGACTGTGCGATGAACACCTCACCACCCGGCCCGGTGCCTTTGCAGCGGCGCCCTGCCTCAACAACAGCAACATACGACGCGCCGCCCTTCTCCTCCCAGTCGTCCGGTACGTCGTCGCCGTAAATCACACCGAAGCGAACGTTCCCCATCGACGCGGCGGCGTCAACGGCGACGNCCTCCCAGTCGTCCGGTACGTCGTCGCCGTAAATCACACCGAAGCGAACGTTCCCCATCGACGCGGCGGCGTCAACGGCGACGTTCCACTGTGCGTTACGCGCCTCCGCCTGTCGCTGCGCCACTGTCTTCTTTGCTGGTGGTTCTTCTGTTGCATTTTCCGTGGCCTCTGGGGCTTTGGATGTCTCACTTGTCTTCTTTTCGGTTGCCGGCACGTAGACGAACATTGAGACGCGTCCGTCCGCCAGCTGCCGCTCCACCTCCAGGAACCGCCGCGGATCCGACAAGACGTCGGCGAAGGAGCCTGCTCCAACGCCGCGCTGCAGGTATAGCGGGAACTGCACGAAATTGTCGAGGCTGTAGCCGCCGCGGAACTTGTGCCAGAGCCCCGGCTTGCCGGTGGTGTAGATGAGTGTCGGATACGCCTCAATTGCGAAGCGTGACGCCAGCGCCTTGTTCTTGACCGCGTTCACCACCCCGAGCTTTGCGTGCGGCAGACCGCTCTCGCTCAGCAGGCGGCTGGCGTTCGCGAACTGCGGGAGGAGGTTCTTGCAGTGGCCACACCACGGGGCGTAGAAGAAGATGAACCACGAGAGTGGTTGGGTGCGTGACTCCTTCGGGAAAACGTAGGCGTCGAATGTGTCATCGCCCAGCACCGTGTATTCTCCCTGATCGCCCTCACTCAAGTCCTCGACGTCTGCGAGGGCCGGCACGGCGGCGAGAGCCACCGCAAGGGCCAGCAGCAACAACAGTGGCAGCAGCGGTTGGCGCGATGACCGAGGCATCTTCATCTGTATGCTTCTGTAGTAAGAAATAGTCCTTGTTTTCTTTATTGTTCACGTGTCCTCTTTATTCCTCTCGTGTTTCCACAGTATGTATGTGAGTAGATGATGCACACACGCGATGTTAACGGAACAAAAAAAAAAGCCAAAAAGGAAAGGGAAAAGGGAAGCATAGCAGTGGGCAGTAGAATAGATGTACCGCAACCAGCGGACGCAGAAACGAAGGAGGCGGGAGCACCTGCCAGAGGTGCTTTGGATTGGCGGAGACCAAAAAAAAAAAACATATCTTACACAGACGCACATGCACAAAGAGAGCGAGCGAGAGAAGGAGAAACACGTTGGAGGTNAAAAAAAAAAAACATATCTTACACAGACGCACATGCACAAAGAGAGCGAGCGAGAGAAGGAGAAACACGTTGGAGGTGACGTGCACTGCTAGTGTACATAAAGGCGAAGAAAAACAAACAAGTAAACAAGCAAGCAGAAGATGCACGTACGTCAAAGAGCGAAACAAAGAAAAGGTCATGTCTGTGCATGTGCATACGTCAGTTGGGGTGGCTCCTGTAGAGGGTCTCCAGATATTCCTTGTCATCCATGTAGCGCTGGAGGCTCTCCCGCAGCGCCGCCGCAAAGGACCTCTTCGTCGTGAGCGAGAAGAGTTTTACAGGCGCGCACCGACGCGGCGGCGTGCCCTCCTCTTGCTGCTGTTGCTGCTGTCCACGGCCCGCACGTAGAGTGGGAAGCTGGTGGTATGTGCCTCCAATTATGGATGTCGTCGGCGCGAGTGGGGCGCGGCCCTTGATCGGCTGGTCGGTGCGGAGGGTGCGGTAGAACATCTCCAGCTGCTTCTCCGAGTGCAGATGGATCTCCGGTCCGACTTCGTCCATTATCTCCTCCTCCTCCACCCCTGTTGTGCCTAAGCCAC